AGGTGCAGGATTACAGGCTGAGCCACCGAGCCCGGCTCTGAACTGGAATTTGAATCTAACAGGTTACTGCTCGGTACCAACAGCCTTGGCAGAAACAAATCAGACCTCTTAAAGGGCAAAAGGCCCCTTGAGGGCAGTTTGGTTTGCTTCTGTGTCTCAGCACCTAGTCAAGGGGAAGACCAGAATCAAGTTCAGAAGCTGAGGCTTCTGATGTGGGCACCAGGGCCCTTTCAATGTCCCAGACTGCTTCTCTGGGTCTCCTGATTCTCTCTTTTTCTTCCTCCCATTCCCCAATTCTTGGTGGATGTGTTTGTTGATACCAATAACAGGTATAGACATTCTCAAAACTGTCTTCACTTTTCCTAGTTTATTTCCATATTATTTCCATCTAGGGTCTCACTCTGTTACTCAGGCTGGAGTACAGTGGCATGATCAAAGCTCAATGCAGCCTTGACTTTTTTATTTTTTGTAGATAAGGTCTTGCTATGTTGCCTAGGCTGGTCTTGAACTCCTGGCCTCAAGTGATCCTCCTGCTTTGGCCTCCCAAAGTGTTGGGATTACAGGTGTGAGCCACCACACCTGCCCTGCTGAGTCTCATCTCAAACTTCATGTGGTTCTTAACTGAAAAGGCCTTAACAGACTTTTGATGGATGCAATGTCTTCCACTCAACCACCCTTTCCCAGTTTCAGGGAACAGAGATGTCCTGAGACAGCCCACTGGAAGGCAAAGGCAGGGCAAGCATTGTCATGAGGGAAACATGGGGCGACTGTCATCCAAACAAGGTCATGCTTTGTTGATGCAGAAATGTGGAGGGGGAGAGGAGACCCATCTGTGGCTGCGCACAGGGCCATTTCAGCTGCAAGCCTGGACAGAGCCTCCATTTATCCCCTTCCAACAGCCTCATTTTCTCCTAGGTGGGGGTTGGCACATGTCGCAGCTGGGGTGGGGGAGGGTGACAGGCAAGGGGCTCAGGAGTTGGGGGTCAGAGAAGAAGGATGGGAATTGGAGGCGCTGGGACTCAGACAAACAACCAAGAGTGGCCAAACCTGGTGGTGCCAGGCTCAGAGGCCGAGGCTGTTTTCCCTTTTACAAGCGGATGAAGGGAGAACCAGTCTGGCTCAGAGAATGACTGGTCACTGCTGAATTCGCTGGCCCTCAGGGGAGGGGCTGACATCCTACTGTCAGCACATCTGGCGTAGGGGAAGGTGCGTACCCAGCTTCTGGCGTGATTTAGGGAGGCACACAAGGCGCCTGCTCTGGCTCTGTAGAGACCCAAGCAAAGCCAGGACCTCTGTGTCTCACAGGATTTGCTATTCCAACTCAACTGAGACATCTCCATCTTCTTCCCACTCCCCAATTCTTGGTGGATGTGTTTGTTGATACCAATGACAGGCACAGACATTCTCAAAACTCCCTTCACTTTTTCTAGTTTATTTCCATCTTTTTAAATCATACACACATATGCATGTTCTTTGTTTATTTAGTTCCCTTGCTATCTGCGGAATTGCCTAAAACAGGGCCTAGCACATGGTAGGCACTCAACAAACAAATGCCCAATGAATGAAAATGCCTGCTTGTCCCACTTCATCTTTGATCTCAGTGGCATTGCTTCCCTTTGCCAATAACTGCCCCAACTCGAGGAGGAAAAGGCATGGGACAGAGGGAATCTCTGGGTCTTCACAGCATGGACTGCATCTGTACTACCTATTTTGAATCCTCTGTGAGAAAATGCTCTCCTAAGGGCAGTTCAGAAGGCAAGACAAAAGACAAAGGATGGCAGAACTGGTTACTGACAAGAGGGAGAACGGTGCAAGGAGCCTTCCAGAGGGTCTTTGGAAGAACCACTGGGGCCAAGAAGACTACATCTGCTCTAGGGGAAGAGACAGTCCTAAGCCAGATTCTTCCAGGACCAAAGTGAGATAAAAGGGAGAAAATGATGGCATGGCAGCTTCTTTGCGAAACTGCTCAGGTTCAGAGTAAAGGGTGAAACATGTCTGCTAAGAGACACAGAAAATGAAAGAAAGGTCAGGGGTGAAAACATACATCAAGACAAGGACAAAGACATGCGATCTGGGTTTGGTATCATTTTGGGCATTCTTGCTTCCCGAGAAGTTGCAATTGTCATGGGACACTGTGGTGTCCACGCCTATCCTCCCTCTCGAGTTGGGGAGGCATTGGCAAAGAAGGCATGCCACTGAGATCAAAGAAGTGGGACAAGCAGAGGTGGTAGGAGGTAGGTAGACGGGTGGAGGAATGTTGTACTGACTTTTCAGGACTCACATTTTCTCTGAGGTAAAGGAGGCTGAGGCTAGAGATGGTCAGGCCAGAAAAAGTACAACTGTGCTGGCATATAAGCTCTGGAGGGCAAGGGCCCAATCTTCCTCAAATGAATTCCCTATGGTGCCAACACAGTACCTGGCAGACAGAAGACATCTCTGATGAACAAAGACTCATGAGAACAAAAGGAAAGTTAGCTACAGATAAACCTTAACATGGCAATCGGTAGCATCTTCCTTTCTAGCTTTGTCGAGGCCTGTCAAGGCAGCCTCCTAGAATGCTCAGAGCTGTTTGAGCTGGGCCAGGGATCAGTGAGGCAAAACGGGAGGCCAGACCAATACAGCTCTAATTGGATCCAAGCAGCCAGACAATATCAATTAAAATACACTTAACAGTCATGAAACAACCCCCTTCTAAGGGGACAGAAACTGAACACTGTAGGGCATGGACAGAGTTCTATTTATCTTTTGTATCCTCAGTGTCTGGCTCAGTGCCTGGCACATGGTAGGCACTCAATAAATGACTGGTGAATGAACTACCCAGTGAAGGGAAAACATGAAAGAAAATGGGAGTAACCAATGAGCGGAAAGGCATTTAAGCAGAGGTTTCAGATTTCCATCCCAAGTTTATCCTTGTTCATTTTCACACACACACACACACACACACACACACACACACACACTCAAATCTAGCCCCAACTTTCCCATATGATTCTGGAAATTACACCACACATCTTTTAGGGCCTGTTACTTTGCCTTCTCCCTAAGCTCTGCAGTTTCTCAGCTTTAAAACATTATGACAAACCTTCTGTTTGAAAGAGGGACAAGATGGTGGTTTGCAGAGACTTCCTCCATGTTCTGTGTTTCTTCAGCTATTGGTGTGTGTCCCAATTCCTGCATTTTTCATCTTGTGGATACCATACTATCAGTATTAATCTCCCCTACTGTGCTTCTTATTTATCCTCGTATCTCCACCCGACTCTAGATCTGAAGAAAGCATTCAACAAGTTATCGACTGTCCTGAAAGAGGTTCAGATCTGTTTAACATCCCCAAATCTTGGGAAAGAGAAAAAAAAGGAGTCTCGTCCGAGTCACACAAGCCACAAGAAACAAGACCTCAAGAACAGTGTAAGCAGAAATTGCTACCCGAAGGAAGAGATCTTGGGGGGCGAAGGGTGCTCCTAGAAGTTTCTGGGATCTCAATGCCAGACGAGTGGGATTGGTCTGAGACAGGATTGGTAAAGAAGATAAGTGATAACCGTCAGACCCTCAGTCCCGCGGGCCCCAGGGCACCGAGGAGTACCCAGAGCGCATCTCCCCGTCCGTGTGTGCGCCTCTATTTCCGAACATACGGCCTCATCGCCAGGGAGACAGAACCTCTCAGGCTCTCGAGGCGGATGGCGTAGTTCACGGCGGGCACCAGGAGCCTCGGCGATTCGGCCATGTCAGGCCCCAAGGCAGAGGGAAGGGAGTTCCGGGTCCGACGACTCAATGCATCCCCACGGAGCCCCAGCTTTCGGACTCACCTGAACTCCACCTTCACTGACAAGGGCGCTGCCATGTTGAGGAAGCCGAGCTCGCAGGAAACTCCCCTTAACTTCCGGTGAACCCGCCCACTTCCGGTTGCTACCCGGCACCGCGGACGGAAGAGGCGGTGCCCAGGAATTCCATCCTCCTCAGCTATTGGAGGAAGTCACGGAGGGGGAAGCGGGGCGGAAGCGGGGAGGTCCCAGACGGAGTCCGGGCTTAAGAGTAGATCTCCTTGCGTCTTTCACAGACTGGGCTGAGACTCAGGGTGGGAAGTGCTCTGTAGACCACGGCCAGGCTGAGGAGAGCCCCCGGCATCTTTGCGAGTGAGCCACATTACAGTTTTTCTTGCATGAGTTACAAATCTCTCTTAAGGCCGCTTAGGCGAGCCCATCCACTCGTCTGGCTTGAATCACAAGCAACTCTCAGGTCAGAAATTTCTCCTGAGCTGTGTCGACTCGCTATCCGACTGCCGCTTTCGGTGTCGATGGGTGTCACTCATTCAACAGCTGTGCCTCCGTGTGCCAGGCATGTGTTCGGTGCTATGGACGCAGTGGTAAAAGGGATAGGCAAGGTCCCTCCCTTCAGGGCGCTCACAGTCTGGTGGGGAGACTGACTGTAATCAAGTAAACATACTGATGGCTGTAAAGTCTCAAACTGAAATGATCTGAAGTTATGGGACCTTCAAAACGAAAACGGACTAGACTGGACTTATCGAACCTGGGTAGAGTTAACTAGGTGAATGGGAGGGGAGAGAAGCCTCTGGGAGCATTCTAGGGAGAACAGAAGTTGCAAACAGAAGTTGCAATGGGTGAGAACATGCTGGAACGCCAACAAAGGGAGGTGGAATTCAGGGAGCCTAGTAAAAGATGAGGCTAGAAAGATGGGCAGGGATCAAACCATGCCTTGTAATCCAGGTAAGCATTTCAGTCACTAGGAGCAGTGGGAAGCTGTTGAAGGATTTTGGAAGAGGGTGGTTTTTTAATTTTTAAAAGCTTCTAAGTATTTATTTTAAAAATAGAGACAGGGTCTCACTATGTTGCCCAGACTGGTCTCAAGCTCCTGGTCTCAAGTGATCCTCCCACCTTGGCCTCCCAAAGCGCTAGGGTTACAGGTGTGAGCTACCATGTCTAGAAAGTAGCATTTTTAGAATTGTGTTTTAAGATGTCATTTCTGAGGCCAAGCGCAGTGGCTCACACTTATAATCCCAGCACTTTAGGAGGCTGAGGTGAGAGGGTTGCCTGAGTCCATGGGTTCAAGACCAGTCTGGGCAACTTGGCGAGACCTCATCTCTATACTGAATTTAAAAAATCAGTTGGGTGTGGTGGTGTGTGCCTGTAGTCCCAGCTACTTGGAAGGCTGATATAGAAGGATTGCCTGAGCCGGAAGGATCACCTGAGCCCAGCAGGACGAGGCTGTGGTGACTGTGGGCATGCCACTGCACTCCAGCCTGGGCGACAGAGTGAGACTCCGACTCAAAATAAATACATAAATAAATAAAATATTTCTGGCTGCAGTGTGGAGAATGGCTTGGCAGGGGACAAGGAAGGAGACAAGAAGAAAAAGGAGCCTGTTGGAAAAGTCCAGGGCAGAAATGGAAGAAAGTGAATGTCCCATGGTTATCTAAACAGCAATGCTTCCAAAGTTGAACTCAGCATTGGTAGAAGATGGTGGTGTAGCCTAGTGGTTAAGGGCGAATAATGTAATAGTTAAGAGCTAAGAGTTCAACTATCAGTTTTGTATCCAGGTTCCACCACTACCTAGCTGTGTCTAGGCAAGTCCCTTAACATCTTTGTGCCTCAGTTTACTCGTCTGTAATGAGGATAACCGCCTGACCCATAGGGTTGTAGTGAGGACTAAATGAGTTTTTGGCACAGAACTTTGTCTAAAATAGGCCCTCTGGGTTCCCCATCTCAAGAATAGCACTACTGTACACTAGAACACCCAAGCAAGGAACCTTGGACATCGTTCTTAATTCTCTCCCTCTCTCACATACGATCACCAAACTTGAATTAGTCTCCCTTCTAACCTTATTTTGCAGCCCCAAATTCTTCCACATATCACCCTAGCCACCACTCATCATCCGCTGTCACTCTGGCCTGCCTGCGCCCACCTCCCTTTCTCCGATCGTGGCTTCATTGTACAATTCAACTCCATGGGTTCTGAGCCCCTTCAATGTGCCAAGCCCTGTTCCCTGTAAAACGAGGACAAACGGGACGCTGTCCTGGTCCTCAAAAAGCACAGAGGAATCCTGTGGTAAATGGAAAAGCCCCACATTCGCCATGATATGTGGGTAGGTCACTTGCCCTTTCTGGAACTTAGTTTCCTCAGTCTGTAAAGAGGGTTCGGGACCAAATGGTCTCTTTAAGCAAAAGTATTCAAAGATTCTTCCTCTGAACTCTTAGCTCTTTCAGGGCAGAAGCCTTTCCTGATTCATCCTGGACTGGCAGCATGCAGTGAACAGCTGTGCACATGTAGGGGTTTGGTAAGCAAGTGCTTGCAGAGAATGAGTCAGTGAATGAGGGACGTCACTCCCCTGCTCAGTCATTCAATGGCTTCCTCTTGCCAACAAGATAAGGCCCTACCTAGACGGCATTCAGGGCCAAATGCCCTGTGACCTAGGAACTGGCTCCCAGAGTTGGAGCAGAGCATTTGGGAACACTTGGAGAGCTTCACCCATTTGCCAAGCACTCACTGAGCACCTCTTACCTGCCAGGCCCAGTGCTGGTGCTGGGAACACAGTGGTAAACAAAACCAGTTGGGTGCTGGACTTCCTGGGGTTGATGTTCTATGAGAAGACATAGAGGAAAAAAGGCCACAAGGTGTGGGGGATCACGGGGGCCTGTGGGAACCAGAGGAGGTCCCTAACCCAGTCTTGGGATCCGGGAAGGCTTCCTAGAGGAAGTCACCGGGAGTCCCAAGTTCAGAGGAGGTAGAGGAAGGGAGAGGGCACTGCGAGCCCAGAGGCAGGCCCTCCTCCTGGAATCTCAAGGGGCAGTGGTCCCAGCTCCTGCCACAGCTGCAGACACTGGGAGCTCTCCTGGGTTGGCCAACCCACTGCGGATGCCCGGCTCTGGTTCTGATCCACTCCTTCCTTTCCCGACTCTGAGCCTACCCCACTCAACCTCAGTAGCAACGTGGGAAGGGTCTTTATTGAACGCCCACTTTACACCTGCCAGGTGCTTCACATGCCTCAGCTAATTGATTCCTCACAGGGACAATTCATTAGCCCTTTTCCACATGAGAGCTGAGACTCACAATGGGTGGCTTGGCCAAGGCCCCTGACGGTCCTGCCGCCACCCCAGGCTTTGTGCCCCAGGACCCGGCCCGTACTCGCTAACCTCACTGCCTCCCCTAGGACTAGCCTCACCCAGATGCCTTCCTCTTGGGTCCAGGCAGAAAGGGGCTTGGGCCCCATCCTGTCCCTCCAGCAGGCCGGCCGGCCCGGGCGCAGGCCTCTGTCCTCTCTGAAGCTCATAGGGAGACAATGGCAGGGTCGGTGGGGGAGGCAAGGACGCGGGTTCCCCCCTGCCCGCCACCCTTTGTCTTCCCGCCTGCTCCCCTCTCGCGCCCCGGGAGGCTGGGAGGCGCCGCTCGCAGGCTTCCTCCTCCCATTCTTGTGCTAATTGGGTGTCAAGCTGAGATCAGTGAGAAAGAAATCCGCCCTGGCTCGGGTTAAACTGCCGCCAAAGACCAGGGCCGGGCCCAGAATATCATTAGGCCGGGAGGAAGCAGGGCCCCCTCCTTGGGTGGGGGGGAGGGGCCGGCCACGCATTCAGGCCCCTTTGAAAGTTACTGGCTCGCCCCCTCCTTTGCAGCCACCGCCTCAATGGGCCCCTCGGAGGTATTTAACCTTCTTCCCAGGAATTGAAAGTGATACGCCATGCACGGGCCTGGGCAGCCACTTGCTCGTCCTGAGGGCGGCTGGACCTCCGGGGACGCTCAAGGCCGGCCCTTTCCAGCCTCCCTGGGTGGAGCACACAGGTTGCAGAAGAAAACACTGAGGCTCGGAGAAGGGCTTTCCTCTTAGCTCTGCCATTCACAGACTCTGTGGTCTTTGAGGAGACTGCTTTTCTGAGCCTTGGGTTCCTCCTCTGTGGAATGAGACTAAGTCGTACCTGCTTTGATTAGGAGGATTTATTTTACTTATTTTTGAGTCGGAGTCTCCCTCTGTTGCCCAGGTTGGAGGCGGTGGCATGCTCGCGGCCGCCGCGGCCTCACCTGCTGGGCTCAGGTGACCTTTCTGCTTCAGCCTTCCAAGTAGCTGGAACCACAGGCACGCACCATCATGCCTGGCTAATTTTTTTGATTTATTATAGAGACGAGGTCTCACCAAGTTGCCCAGGTTGGTCTCGAATCCCTGGATTCAGGCAGTCTTCTCATCTCCGCCTCCCAAAGTGCTGGAATTACAGGCTTGATCCACCATACTCAACCTTTTTTTCTTTTAACTACTGTGTACTGGGTAGACTCCAGGACCTGGCCCGTGTCCACACTGAGATTTGCCTGCACACACTCTCATGGCCAATTCACAGCTATCCCAAGGTGGGGACTCCTTGACCTCCATTTACAGGAGAGGAAATTGAGGCTTCGCTGGGTACATGGGAGCACTGGAGTTTGGATGCAAGCCTGCCTGACCGCAGAGCAGAGTTCTTCACCACCTCGGCATACAGCCTCTAGGTGACTGTTCAACCTGGAGGAAAGAAGAGCCCCCTCTGGAGGCTCCTTCTTTTCACTGTAGAGACTCACCACACCACTGAGGGTTCAGAGCACAAAGTCACATTGTCAACAAGTCCAGCCTTTGGAAGCCCCACCAGAGGTCTGCCACGAGTCCTTTGAGTTGGGTACCTGCTTGGGAGTGAGCTGGGACCCCGACCTTCCTTCCTGCTTCCCTGACTGCCCACTAAGGGTCAGGACGGGATTTTCCAGGCTCTGCGCGCCCTCTGCTGACTATAGTCAGGCACGGCAGCCATGCCTGGCGCCCCCAAATTCCCTTCAGCATTACTCTGCAAGGGCCCCACCCCAGCTCTGCACCCCCGGACAGGCTCCAGACTTTCGAAGGTCACTCCCCCAGGAGGCACCTCGATTTCTCAGCCTGGGAACCCTGGGTGTGGTCATGTCTGCCCCATAGGCTCGCGTGGACAGAAGCTCCTCTGGTTCCCTTGCCTCCTGCGCAGGGCAGGGATGTGAACACTGACGGCCTGAGCTTGGCTGGGATTCTGGCTCCATTACTTGCTGCGTGACCTTGGCCCCATTACTCAGAAATCTCCAAGTTCTAAAGCCCACCGCACAGGCTTGTGGCAAAGTCCCAACAGTGCAGAGGAAGGCCCTGGAACCCAGTGCCCTCTGCCCTGGGCTGTTTGGGAACCTGTTCCTCTCAGGCTGGAGTCTCCAGCCTGGGTGTGACCCCAGTGCTGGGGCCTAGGAGACAGCTGGCTCTCCACCCGCACTGCTATTAAACTCTGTGAAGACTGGGCCAGGGAGTTTTCCTGTACTCTGTCCGGGCTAGTCAGACAGCCTTGCTCTGGCAGCCACTGCGTCCCTCCCAGCCCCGTGGACCTCTGCAGTCCCCAAGTAGCCAGGAATACACCACAGGCAGAGGGAGCAGCAGGGTCTGGAGTTGGGATCCTGCCCCAGATTAGGGTTTCCCCTCAAGCCCCTTCCCCATGATGGCTACCTTCAGCATCTGAAGCCTCTAAACTGATTATGTCCACTTCACAGGTAAGGAGACTGAGTTATCTGCCCAAAGCCACAAGCTTATGTGACAGGACTGGTCTGGACTTTCAAGCTCACACTGTCAAACACCTAGCCAGGCTCAGGTGGGAACTACTCCTATCTGAGCCAGGACCTTACCTGCTGCATCCCTAAGTTTAGGCGAGTGAATGAATGGGTGGGGAAACAAACAGGCCAGAGGGGCAGGAGGGGGGCTCAAGCAGCTGGAGTGGGCTGGAGCCTCTGGAGCTGGGTAGGCTCAAGTGGCTTGCACAAAGGCTAGCAGGCGTCAAGGCAGAGTTTATTGGCCCCTGAGCCCCCCACCTCCCATTCCTCTCACAGCCAGGTCAGGACTGAGATGGAGAAGCTGACACAGACCCCAAAGGCAGAAAGGCCCTGCCTGAGGGACAGCCAGGAAGCCACCCAGAGAGGACGGGGCAGTGGGGAGAGACAGGGCACTCTGTCCTGACCTCCTGCTGCAGGTGGGGCATGGGAGCTCCATGGGGTCCTCCTCCCCACTCCCCTCCTAGAGGTGCAGGTGGGGCTGAGTGAACTTGGACAGCTCTGGAGCTGGGATCCTCTTTGGCTGCCTGATGGTTGGCCACTGCTGCCCCTGCCCACTGGGTTGGCTTCCTGAGTCTAGGGACTTCTGCCCTGGTCCCATTTACAAGCTCCCTACTCTCTGGGGAGAGCTTGGTGACTCCCTGCCTCTCCCTGCCCTGACCTAAGACATCATCCTGAGAAGGCCCGGTCAGTCTCAGCCTGGGATCCAAAGGGCCCGCCCAGCCCAGAAGACATCACTTGGCCAGGAGGCTTTCACAGAAAACCTCTGGGGGGAGGGAAGGTGGCAGTGAGTCACTTGGCAGTTTTAGAGGAAGGGGCAGCGGCTTGGGGTGGAGGTCCCGGGCCCGCTTGCTTTGGTCTGGCGTCATCCAGGACCCCGCTGGGGTGGATCCTGGGGTCTGGACCCAGCACCCACCAGCCTCAGAGGGACATGGAGAATCACAGTTTCTCCTCGCCTGCCTGGATACGGGTGTAGGCCTCGTAGTCCAGTGAGACGTAGCGGCCCTTCCGGGCGTCCAGGTAGAAAAGTGGGTCTTTCACGACAGCTGGGTCAAAGCCCTCCTTCCGCAGCTCTGTCTTCTGGAACTTGTAGGTCCCTGCGGGAGCAGGGAGAAGACTCAGTGCAGGGCCTGCATCCCCAGGAATGCGACAACCAGTGTTAAGGAAGGGCAGAGAAGAGGCTGGAGAGGAAGTGGGAGGGGATGTAGGGGAGGAGGCACATCCCTTCAGAGTTTGCAAAGAATGCTCCATGTATGACCTATGTACTGCTGCTCGGAACAGCTGTGGCCAAGGTGGGGTGGTGGAGTTGGAGGGATGGGATGGGATGGGGGACAGTCACTAGTTACCCACCTGCCCCCATCTTGCAGATGGGAAAACAGACCTGGAAAAGAGACGCTATTGTCCAATGTCACACACAGAATGGGGACCAGAACTCGTGTCTTCTGATGGTGATGGTTCCCCTTATTTGAGCATCCGCCGGGTACATGTATAAGCTCATTTAATCTGCATGTCAAACCCCCCCCCAAGGCAGGTGGTCTACTGTATTCTCTGGATTCTGAGATGCACATGCTTTCAGATTTTAACATCTCTGAAATATCTGATTTGCAACACTTTTTAATCTTACTAGTATGTAACGCATATTATGCATCTTTCAATCTATAGCATTAGTTCCACTGTACAGATGAGAAGACTGATGCTCAGAGTAGTACAGCTGGGATTTGAATTTGGGTATGACAGACTACCAAAAATGGCTCTGTGTGGCTCTGTCACTTCTCCCAGCAAGAGCCAGCATCTTTCTCAATCCCTGCTGGCCTCAATCTGGACTGGCCCTGTGACTTGCTCTGACCAACAGTGTGGGGAGAAGTCATGTGGGAGTTCTGGGTGGGTCTAGGCCTCAGGGGGCCTCGCAGCACTCAGCCCACCATCCTGGGGTTGCCTTGAGAAAAGTGTAGGCTTCTGCACCATGAGAAGACACGTGGAACAGGGGTGTGCCGTCCCAGGTACCTCCCCAGACTGGCGTTCCAACAGGGTAGTCACTGGCCATGTCTGGCTACTCGCATGTAAATTAATTAAAATTAACACAATTTAAATTTCAGTTCCTTAGTAGCCACCTTTCAAGTGCTCAATGGCCATGCCAGGCTAGGAGCTACTGTGGTGGACAGCAGAAATCCAGAGCATTTCTACTGTTGCGGAAAATCTGGCAACCAGCCAAGGCCCTGACCCATGAGAGAGGCCGAATTAGAGCTCCTGCCCCAGGTGAGCCACCAAGTGACGGCAGCTCTTTGAGTGACCCAGGCAAGGCCAACAGAAGAACCACTCCTCTGAACTTAACACATAAGTTGCCGACCCACAGAACTTTTAGCAAATAAAATGGTTGTTTCAAACCATTTGGGGGCAAGCAAGTTGGAGGTGGTTTGTTCTGCCGCAAAGCTCATCTGAAGCTCCTGGTCTGACAGCCTCCCTGCCACTCCTGGACAGAGATTCCAGTGTTGTCCAATCCACAGGAGCTTGCAGTCTCGGCCATGAGCCCAGCAGCAGTGTCCCTGTCCTTCAGGGCCACACTGAAGCCCTAACCCATCCCTGCTACATCAGGGGCCGTGTCAGGTGGGGAAGGCTTGTCATCAAGGAGGTGCTGATGTGATGGTCACGTGGGAGGTGGCTAGGCACATGTGGCCCCAGAGTAAGCAGCTAGGGGAAGCCCAAGCAACAGGGAGAGCCCGGAAGGGGCAGGTCTGGGCATGAACCTCGGTGCCTCTTGCCCACCCGGCCCTCCTGAGAGCCATCAGTGGACCCACAGCTAGAGGACAGTGCTGCCCTGCTGTGCAACTGTGGGCCCTGGCTCACCTCTCACCTGGACACTTCGACAGCCCCTCACTCATCTCCCCTCTCCCCCAGGGCTGCCTGCAGTCCTCGCCCACTCTCCACACAGCAGTCAGAAAGCTTTCTAGAACACGAATCTGACCAGGTTATTACTCTGCTCAAGTACTTCTTTGGCTCCCTACTGCCCCCAGGAGAGCCCAGACTCCCACCCTGACCACAAGGCCCTGGGTTTCTGGTCTCTGCTGGCCTTCCTACTCGTTCACCCACTACCTGCCCTGTCCCTTGGCTCCAGCCTGAGGGCCTCTGTTCATCCCTCCAGATCCAAGCACCTTCCTACCTGACTTTGTACTCAGTTTCCACAGCCTGAAATGTCTCCCAGTCCAGTCGAGACCTTCCTTTCATTCAGGTCTTGGCTGAAACATTGCCTCTTCAGGAGAGTCTTCCGGTCATCCCAACGTCCCCTCATCTGTTTTTCTGTCAGCTTGATCTGTGGTCCATTTGTTTTTGAGTCGGAGTCTCACTCTGTCGCCCAGGCTGGAGTGCAGTGGCATACTCACGGCCACCCCAGTGTCGACCTGCTGGGCTCTGGTGATCCTTCCGCCTCTGTCTTTCAATGAGCTGGAACTACAGGCACGTGCTACCACACCCAGCTGATTTTTGATTTATCGTAGAGATGCGGTCTTGCCAAGGCTGGTCTCAAACCAGCGGGCTCAGGCAATCCACTTGCCCTGGCATCCCACACTGCTGGGATTACAGGCTGAGCCATCGAGCCTGGCCCATTATTTATTTATTTGTTTGTTTGTTTGTTTGTTTTTAGTTGGAGTCTCACTCTGTCACCCAGACTGGAGTGCAGCGGCCGCTCCTGGCTACAGCAGTCTCGACCTGCCGGGCTCCGGCGATCCTTCCACCTCAGCCTTCCGAGTAGCCGGAATTACAGGCATGCGCTACCACGCCCGGCTGATTTTTTGATTTATTGTAGAGATGAGGTCTCGCTGTCCAGGCGGGTCTCGAACCCACGGGCTCAGGCAATCCACTCCCCTCAGCTATTTGCTTGTTTTTAAGACAGCCTTGCCCTGTCCCCCAAGTTGGAGTGCAGTGGCACGATCAAGGCTCACTGCAGCCTTAAACTTCTAGACTCAAGGAATCCTCCCTCCTCGGCCTCCCAAGTACCTGGGACTACAGGAATGCACTGTTATGCCTGGCTAATTTTTCTATTTTTTGTAGAGATGAGGTCTTGCTGTGTTGCCCAAGCTGGTCTTGAACACCCAGGCTCAAGCGATCCTCCTGCCTCAACCTCCCAAAGTTTTGGGATTACAGGCGTGAGCCACTGTGCCTGACTGTGGTCCATTCTTTTTTTTGAGTTGGAGTCTCACTCTGTCACCTAGGCTGGAGTATAATGGTACACTCATGACCACAGCAGCCTCTACCTGCTGGGCTCAGGCAATTCTCCTGTTTCAGCCTCCCAAGTAGTTAGAACCACAGGTGTGTGCTACCATGCCCGGCTAATTTTTTTTTTTTTTGAGTTGGAGTCTCACTCTGTCGCCCAGACTGGAAGGTTTGCCATCAAGGAGGTGCTGATGTGATAGCCACGTGGGAGGTGGCTAGGCAGATGTGGTCCCAGAGTAAGGGGCCAGGGGAAGCCCGAGCCAACAGTGGCCACCGCAGCCTCCACCTGCTGGGCTCTGGTAATCTTTCCGCCTTAGCCTTCCAAGTAGCTGGAACTACAGGCGCACGCTACTATGCCCAGCTAGTTTTTGATTTATTGTAGAGATAAGGTCTCGAACTCATGGGCTCAGGCAATCCACTCACCTCAGCCTCCCAAAGCATGGGATTACAGGCTGAGCCACCGAGCCTGGCTTAATTTTTTTATTTATTGTAGAGACAAGGTCTCACCAAGTTGCCCAAGCTGGTCTTGAACCCCTGGGCTCAGGCAATCCTCTCACCTCAGTCTCCCAAAGTGCTGGGATTATAGGCTTGAGCCACCACACCTGGCCTTTGTGGTCCATTCTTTATCTTTGGAATTCCTTGTCCTGTGACTGCCTCCTTTCCCGCTCTAGAAACTCCAAGAAGGCAAAAGTCCCATCAGAATTTGTTACCTGTATTCCCAAGGCCTAGTGCGGTGCCTGGCACTCAGTCAATATTTCTTCCACTAAGGAAAGACAAAGCTCCTCTCTGAAAGCTCGGTTTGCTCACCTTACATGGGCAGGCCAGCTCACCAACTGCCCGGCTAGGCTATGGAAACGCTTGTGACAGCCAGCTGGGTCTCTACCCAAGGAAACGAGAAGGGGCCCAGGCCTGGACCCTGAGAGTGGAGCAGGGGAGGGACACACACCTGTCTTGTGCAGCTCAGGCAGGAGGCGCAGGAAGATGGGGCGGGCGTACAGGGGCAGCTCCTTCTCCAAGGCCTGTGCAAAGCACTCCAGGTCACAGTTGCCGGTGGGGCTGGCCACGGCAGCCATTCCGGCCCGGCCCTCAGTGCCTGGGGGCAGCAGGGCAGACAGTGAGTGGCTGGCAGGACCCCCTGGTGCCTCCCTGCCCTGCCGCCTCCACATACATACCTGGTACCTCGACGCCGTATACCGCCACGTCGGCCATGTCAAGCAGGCGGCTTAGCGTGCCTTCCACCTCGGTGGTGGACACGTTCTCGCCCTTCCAGCGGAAAGTGTCTCCTGTACGGTCTCGGAAGTATAGGTAGCCCAGCTCATCCATCACCAGCACGTCACCTAGGGAAGAGATACAGGGTTTGGGCTGGCTTGGGGCTAGTCCTCACTCTGTGGCCCAGGCTGGAGTATAGTGGCATGCTCATGACCACCATAGCTTTGACCTGCTGGGCTCCAGTGATCCTCTTGCCTTAGCCTCCCCAAGTGCTGGGATTACAGGCATGAGCCACTGCACCCAGCTCCAAGGATTTGATGGTAAAGACCAGGACTGAAGAGGTGTTCCCTCAGGATGGGGGAAGGTCCCCTCGTCCCTCCCATGCCCCTGGTATGGGGCTGTGAAGGGTTGGGCACCCACCGGTGAGGTAGGCCTGGTCCCCCTTCTTGAAGACGTCCTTGGCAATCTTCTTGTTGTTGGCGCCTTGGTTGAGGTAGCCGTCGAAGCGGCGTAGGGGGTCTTGCTGGATGATGCGGCCCACCAGCTGGCCTGGCTCACCTGGGCAGGGAAGGCAGTCAGATGTCTTAGGCTGCCTTTCCCACCTGCTCCCCTGTCCAGATGCACCTGAATCTTTTGGAGTCAGGGTTCCACTCTGTCACCCAGCTTGGAGGTCATGAGCAGGGCTCACCGCAGCCTCAACCTCAGGCGATCCTCTGCCTCAGCCTCCAGAGTAACTAGACTCCAGGCCCTTACCATCATGCCTGGCTAGTTTTTGGAATGTTTTTGTAGAGACTGGGTCTTGCTATTGTGCCCAGGTTAATCTCAAACTCCTGGGCTCAAGCAATCCTCCTGCCTTGGCCTCCCAAAGTGTTGGGATTACAGGCATGAGCCACCCTGCATCTTGATTTGACTTGATTCATACTGCTTGCCACAGAAATGCCTCACTTATTCCCAGCCCAGTGCTTACTGTGGCAGGTCTGACACATGCAGGCCGCAATGTCTGTTTACTGCACCAATAGGAAGATGAGTACACAGTGAACCAGGGTCAGCTCCATGGGACAGCCCAAAAGCCAGCACCCTGAGCCCCTGTCCATGCCTGCTCCACCCTCAGAGCTTCATGTCCTTTACCAACACAATATCCTCAGGCCAGCCCGACAAGGTGGGTGCTGCCATAAGTCCCACATGCAGATAAGGGAACTCAGACACAGGAAGGTTGAATAACTCGCTCATGACACAGAGCTAAGGGGCTGAGTCAGAATCAATCCAAGTGGCCTGGGCTCAGCTGGTCTTGAATCAACACGAAAATCAATGAGTTGGCTGGGTGTGGTGGTTCACACCTATAATCCCAGCACTTTGGGAGGCAGAGGGAAGAGGACTGCCTGAGCCCAGGGGTTTGAGACCAGCCTGGGCAACTTGATGAGACCTTGTCTCTACAATAAATTAAAAGAAATTAGCTGGGTGTGGTAGTGCATGCCTCTAGCTACTCGGAAGGCTAAGGCAGAAGGATCTTCTGAGTCTAGCAGGTCAAGGCGGCAGTGGCTGTGAGCGCGCCACTGCACTCCAGCCTAGGCAACAGAGTGAGACTCTGACTCAAAAAAAAAAAAAAAAAAAAAATCAATGAGCTGATGGATGGTTAAGATGGTGAATGAATGTATAAACGAACAAAGAAATGAAGTCAGGCACAATGGCTCACACCTGTAATCCCAGCACTTTGGGAGGCTGAGGTGGAAGGATCATTTAAGTTCATAAAGAAGTTCAAGACCAACCTGGGCAATATAGCGAGACCTCATCTCTACAAAAAGTCAAATTAGCTGAGACTGGTTGCACGCCTGTGGTCCCAGCTACTGGGGAGGCTAGGGTGGGAAGACTGCTTGAGCCTGGAAGTTCAAGACCAGTGTGGGCAATATAGCAAGACTCTGTCTCTACAAAAAATTTAAAAATTAGATGGGCAAGGTGGTGTGTACCTATAGTTCTAGTTACTCAGGAAGCTGGAGCAGAAGGATTGCCTGAATCCAGGAAGTCAAGGCTGCAGTGAGCCATGATCCTACCACTGCACTAGGGAACCCAGTGAGACCCTGACTCAAAAATTAAAAAAAATAAAAGGAAAAAGAAAAGAGTAACTGGCCTCCCCCTTCAGGCCCCCAATTTCGACGCGAGGCAGACCTGGCTGGCAGGGAATGCAGATGCCATCGGGCCCCCGGATCAGCTCCATGGTGTCCTCATTGACACGCACCAGCCGGATGGGGTACACAAAGGACAGGATGCGGCTGTTGAAGCCACAGGCCCCCACCTGCCAAGGACGAGACGTGAGCCTAGGCTCTCCCAGCATGGGCCAGGGCTGGGTAGTGGGGGAGGAGCCAACACCCACACGCTCACGTGAGCCCCACCTCCCCTTCCCACGGTCCATCCCCACAGTGCCCTACTGTCCCCCGTTGCACCTGGCTGTCGAAGTTGCCCAGGCTGCAGTTGCACTCCGTGGCCCCATAGAACTCGGCCACCTGGGAGATGTGAAAACGGCTGGAGAAGCTGGTCCAGATGGACTGCCGGAGCCCGTTGCCCAACGCCATGCGGACCCGGTGCTGGTTCTCAGCCTCCCGTGGTGGCTGGTTGAGGAGGTAGCGGCAGAGTTCGCCGATGTACTGCACAATCTGGGGGCGAACACGGCATGACTGCAGGCTCCCGAGAGTGCTCGCGTTCACCTGTCCCCAGCAGTCCCCATCCTCTCTGGCCTCAATCTCCCCATATGATCAGCGAGGATGAGCCCCTCTGAATGGCTGGCTGCTTCAGCTGGGAGACGGATGCCCGGGAGCGAGATTGGGGGAGAGAAGCAGGGGACAGGGACAGCTCCTGGCCCCTCCTCACTCACTGTGCAGTTATACTTGACGCAGTCATCCCAGAACCGGGAGGCTGAGAACTTCTTCCGGATCACCACCGTCATGCCGTGGAGCACACACTGCCCAATTCCCACGATGTTTCCTGAAGACAGAGGGGTGGCCCTGGAGGTCAGGCAGACAAAGATACTCCCCTCTAGAGGCTCCCCTTGCCCAGGCTGACCTCCTCACAGGCTCTTCCCCCGCCGGTCTCTTTCCTGTCCTGTCCCACCTACACTAATTGATTATGTCTCTCCCCAATTCAGACACCTTTCATGGCTCCCCAGTGCCTGGGGATAAATGCACACTCTTTACACGGCCCCTGGGGGAGCCTGAAGCTGGCCTCGAGCCCCTATGCTGCCATCTGGCTAGGCAGGCCTGAGCTGCCCTGTGGTGTGTCTGTATCTCACATCTACCTGCCTTAGGTGACCTCCTCCAGGAAGCCTTCCTGACCTCCACCACTGGTTCTTCCCCCATGGTGCACTCCTGCTCCCTGCTCTTCCTCCACATTTACATGCATGCACACTGACTCTAAGCCCCTTGAGAGCAGAAACTACATTTATTCAAGCTCAGTCTTCCCTTAAGTCCCTACAACCAGGCAGCAATGCCGTGTGTATTTGTGGAAACAAACTATAGCATCAGACCAGTTCAGATGCCCCATGAGGCACTGTCGCACACACTGTGCAGCTGCTGGGGTCATCCTTATTATTTTCTTTCTCTTGTTCCTATTTGATTCAGGGGTCCCACTCTATCATCCAGACTGTAGTGCAGTGGCATGACCACAGCTCACCACAATCTTGACCTTCTAGGCTCAAGCAATCCTCCTGCCTCAGCCTCCTGAGTAGCCGGAACTACAGGTGTGCACCACCATGCCCAGTGAAATTTTTTTTTTGGGTAGAGATGAGGTCTTGATGTGTTGCCCAGGCTAGCCTCGAATTCCTGGGCTCAAGTGATACTCCCACCTGAGCCTCCTGAGTAGATGGGCCTCAGTCGCAGCCACCGCACCTGGTTTATCCTTATTTAATAACAAGGAGACTGAGGTGGCGTCAATGGCCACATCTGGATTTGAGCCCAGATTTAACCTGAACGCTCATGTGTTTCTACTACAACTGCTGCATGACCTGTGGGCCTGGGGGTGCTGGAGGCTGAGGGGGTGGGCCCAGGGTCACCTGCTGAGTGGTAGAGGGGGAGGCAGTCGTAGACAATGTCGTCAGGTCGCATACGGAATCCATAGTACACCAGGGCAGCCATGCGGTAGTACCTGGGGGGCACAAGGGGAAGAGCTGGGTGCGCCCCGGGCAAGGCAGCGGGAGGTGCCTAGGCCCTGCCCCGCCTCCCACCCTGGGGCACCTGCCTCCTACCTGCTGTGCACCACGATGGCGGCTTTGGGCAGCCCCGTGGTGCCCGATGTGTAGATGTAGAAGAGCTTATCTGAAGGAAACAGACACATGAGCAGCTGTGAGGGGGCAGCACAGGGCTGGCTGGGTCAGGCAGACAGATGCGTGTATGTGTGCCTCCTTCAACACCTGTTCCCATACACCTCTTCTGGGAAGCCTACCCTGATGACCTCAAGCACCGTTCCGTTCTAATGCCTGCATCCGTTCCTTCAACAAACATTTCCTGGGCCCTGCTGTGGAGTGGAGAGACATAAGTGACTATGATGGGCATGGGCCCAGTCCTCTCGGAAGTCACAGCTCAGTGGGATGGTCAATGGAAGACACAGGTAGTTCCAATACTGAGCCTTGCGGGCCGGGGGCGGGTGGGAAGCACAGGGCTTGTGGAAGCCCAACAGCCACATTTGGCCTGGGCTTTCAGGGCAGAAGGTGGTGCCTGCCCACATCTTAGCACACAGGGAGGCATCAGCTGGAGGAAGTGGGGTGTTGAGGCAGCTTCTGCACTGCTGACCATCTATTTACCATGATAATTTTATTTATTTATTTATTTATTTATTTGAGTTGGAGTCTCACTCTGTCACCCAGACTGAAGTGCAGTGGCATGCTCCTGGCCACCACAGCCTCAACCTGCTGGGCTCCTGCAATACTTCTGCCTCAGCCTTCCAAGTAGCTGGAACTATAGGTGCGTGCTACCACGCCCAGCTAAGTTTTTGATTTATTGTAGAGATGAGGTCTCACCAAGTTACCTAGGCAGATCTTGAACCTGCAGGCTCAGGCAATCCACTCACCTCAACCTCCCAAAGCGCTGGGATTACAGGCTGAGCCACTGAGCCTAGCTGATAATTTTTTTTAAGCCAGGGTCTTACTCTGTCACCCACACTGGAGTGCAGTGGCATGGTCACAGCTCACAATAGCCTTGACCTCCTGGGTTCAAGTGATCCTCCCACGTTAGCCTCCTGAATAGCTGGGACTACAGGTACACAGGGGGCCAGCTCTTTTGTGTGTGTGGGTGTGAGTCGCGTTCTCTGTCGCTGAGGCTGGAGTACAGTGGCACAATCATGGTTCACTGCAGCCTCAGCCTCCTGGGCTCAGGTAATCCTTCTGCCTCAGCCTCCCAAGTCGCTGAGACAACAGGCATACACAACCCCACGTGGCTAATTTTTAAATTTTTTTGTAGAGACAAGGTCTCGCTATGTTGCCCAGGCTGGTCTCGAACTCCTGGCCTTAAGCAGTCCTCCCGCCTCAGTCTCCCAAAGTGCTGGGACTACAGGCGTGAGCTACTGCATCCATCTGACATTCTAGTTTCTATATGATGTTCAGCCTTACCATGCTGGACCTCCTGGAGGTCAGGAACCCCATAGAATGACTCTGCATGTTGACTGTACATGCTATCACATGTCATGTTCTCTGGCTACCTGCTGTTTGACAGCCCTTAGCACCAGGAGGGTACCAGGGTGAGTCAGCCAGAGGTGCTGCTCTAAAGTAACTTACAAAAGCACCTGGGAGTCCAGGTGTGGTGGCTCACACCTGTAATCCTAGCACTTTGGGAGGCTGAGGAGAGAGGATTGCTTGAGCCCACTAGTTAGAGGCTAGGCTGGGCAACATAGCAAGACCTTGTATCTACAAAAAATAAAAAAATTAGCTGAGCATGATAATGCACACCTATAGTCCCAGCCACTTGGGAGGCTGAGGCAGAAGGATCACCTGAGCCCAGGAAGTTGAGGTTGCACTGAGCCATGATTGTGCCACTGCACTTCAGTCTGGGCATCAGAGACCCTGACTAAAAAAAAAAGAGCACCAGGAGACGATACAAATAAGAGACAAAAGTTAAACAATGATGGTGACAATGGGCCTTTCCTGCCACAGTCCAGCTTCAAGACTTCACCTGTTGTATTCTTGTCAACCCTCAAAATGAGTCCATAAAGTAGGATCTGTTACTATCCTCAATCTTTTTATTTCTTTTTTTGAGTCAGAGTTTCACTCTGCTGCCCAGGCTGGAGTGCAGTGTCATGCTCATGGCCACCGTAGTCTCGACCTGCTGGGCGCAGGTGATTCTCCCACCTCAGCCTTCCAAATAGCTGGAACTATAGGTACATGTCACTATATCTGGCTAATTTTTTGATTTACTGTATTGATGAGATCTTGCCAAATTGCCCAGGCAGTCCTTTCACCTCGGCCTCTCAAAGTGCTGGGATTATAGGCGTGAGCCATTGTGCCCAGCCCTCAATCCTTTTTTTTGTTTTGAATTGGGGTCTCACTGTTACCCAGGCTGGAGTGCGGTGGTGCAATCACGGTTCACCACATCCTTGACCTCCTGGATTCAGGAGAACCTCCTGCTTCAGCCTCCCGAGTAGCTGGCATATGCCACCACACCCGGCTAATTTTTTGATTCTTTTGTAGAGACAAAGTCTCACTTTGTTGTCCAGGCTGGCCTCAAGTGATCTTCCTGCTTTGGTTCTCAAAGTGCTGGGATTACAGGTGTGAGTCACCGTACCCAGCCACTATCCCCAATCTCATGGCTGTGAGAACGGGGGCTCTGAGGGCAGATCAGATGTTACAGGTCACACAAGGGAAACAGTAGAGCTGGTGTATACACTCAGATCTGGCATGGCAGCCCAAGATCTGAGCCACCAGGCTATGCTGCAGGTCCTGTGGCTTCCCAGGAAAAAGAAAAGAACGAAAGGACCAGGCAGGCTGGAGTATAAAGGAAGAGAGGTGAGAGGATCAGGAACTCCCTGGAGGAGGGAGAAAGAAAGGCTGGGAGAGGCTCACAGCTGCAGACTCCAAAAATCAAAACCTGCGTGGAACAGGTGGTTGATGAATGCTCAAAGGGTCTTGCCCCTCATCTACCTTCCCCCCAGCCTCAGCCCCAATTCAGGTGAAGCTATCTCCTGGGGTCCCCACGATCCTGCACGTCAGTGGAGGCTTCTTCCCCACTTCTCAGAACTGAGCCCTGTGAGCTCCTGTGTACTCAGCCCCGTGCCTGGCACTTTTACTCACATCAGCTCATTTCACCTTCATGGTAACCCCAGAGTGCCCCAGGGTTACTGTCCCTATTTTCCATATGGAAAAAGAGAGATGACATGCCTGGTTCCAAGCATGTGGCAGCTTGCAGAAGAACCCAAGCCTTCTGCTTGGAGGCTAGTGCCGTGGAACCCCGCTGTGGGTGACTTCACAGGTGGGGGACTCACCTGTGAAGCCTTTGTCAGGGCGACTGGGCAGGTGCTTGGGAGCATCTTCCAGCAGAGGGTCCAGGTGCTCTGTGCTGGTGGGCACTGTGCTGGGCTCCCAGGAGCCAGAGCAGAAGAGGCTGAGCAAGGGGTCCAGGCTGCCACAGATCTCACAGATAGCTGCGGGGAAGACAGGGCAGGTCAGCAGGCAGGCCAGGAGACCCAGGGGTCCCAGGATCTCTGCATGTTGTCAGAGAGATGAACTGGGCAGGAAGAGAGGCTGGGAAGCACCAGGGTATCACTCTGTCATCCATGCTGAACTGCAGTGGCATGATCATGGCTCACTACAGCCTCAAACTCCTGATCTCAGGTGCTCCTTCCTTCTGCCTCAGCCTCCTGAGGAGTTGGGACTACAGGCGCATACCACTGTGCCCAGCTAATTTTTTTTTTTTTGAGTCGGAGTCTCTGTTGCCCAGGCTGGAGTGCAGTGGCATGCTCAAAGCCACCACAGCCTGGACCTGCTGGGCTCAGGTGATCCTTCTGCCTCAGCCTTCCAAGTA